CTCCTCCTCCTCCTCCTCCTCCTCCTAGACCTTGAACAAATGTATGGAAGTATGTTTCTCTCTAATGCAATAGGTGTACATAGTGACGATGTCACAGATGATTGACTGGATGCAAAACGCCACTTCTCTCCCCCACATTTTGGAATTCGAACCCTGGTCATGTCCACAACGCCACCTTTACAACTCTGCAGAAAAGGGCTTTCCAAGCTGCCTGGACATTTTGTTTACTTTGCTTCTTTTGTTATTGTTGAATAAAGGTTTGCACTATTGACTGACTGAAACTTTCTTTGTTTATGCTGTATACTTTCTTTCAGCCTCGTAATAAAACTCTTAATTAATATCTTTCCTTTGGTTCCAAGAGAATTGACTGACATTACCTTCTGCTTGAACGTACCTGTTTGTATATTTTTTTACGTCAGATTTCTCAAAACTAGGTAGATCTACTGAGTAGATAGGACTTTGTAATTCTGAGGTAGAGAAATAGGGCTGAGCTATGTAATGAAAGTGGGAGTGCTGCCAGGTCTCTGGGCGGGGATCTCGTGGTCTGGTGGTACGGTGTTTGTCTCTCATTCAATAGGTCCCGGGTTCAAAACATGACAGCGACGGAACATTTTCTTCTTTTTATTTATTTTCCCTTTCACCTCTTTTCCTGCTAATCGGGTTTTGTTGTTTGCTTTTGCCCCCACCTTCTTCTCTCTCTGCCAACCGCCCCTCCCCTCCTCCCCCACCACACACACCGTTTGCCGCCTCCTCAGGGCCTTTGACTCTTTCAGCTACAGTTCTACTTCTACTCCTTTATTCTCTCTTACTACTGTATTTCACTACTCCCCTGATCTTAGAGTAGAAAAGCTCTGACACCTAGCCTTCTCAGTCAAGGGCGAAAAAAATTCGGAGATCCCGTGTGCAAGTTGCGCTCGTTAAAGATCCTAAAATCGAAAAGAATAGGATTCGGACGCCCCTCCCACGTGCAGAATTCAAAATTAATTCCAACCAAACTGAACTTGCTTAACTCACTGAAGACGTTTCACGTCAAAAACACTGGATGGCCCGTCATTCTGAGAGACGGTTCCCGTGGAAAACATGGGATCGTCATTATCGCCGATAGCGTTGATATAAATGCCGCTACAAGCACGGGGATCCGGCTTAGTTGTTTGCGTACCGTACCCATTGTTTCGTTTCCCAGAAAAGTACCCGGAAGTCGGTCAATAACGGTTGGCCCAAGGCACTTATAGTTAAGTGACTGCTAAGACTGTTTGTGTTGTAAATGCAGTGATTGTCTATAATAATAATGGCTTCTCATATTTTCTTATTCGTAAATTTGTTGAACCTTGAATTTTTTACATTAAAAAAACACATGGAAAATGATATGGCAGAGATAGACACGTATACTTTAATATCTTTGTTTTTCATGTGTTATTCTTGTTTGTTTCAAAAGGGCATTGCAGTTGGTCAGATGGTTCTCATTTTAAACTATTCTGAAAAAAACACCCTTCAGTCTTCGGTGATTGTTCATCGAAAAATCCTTAAGTCTTTCCCGCGCCCTCATGTGACCATACGCAGTTGCGTGCGTCGTAAAAAAAAGGAAATAAATAAATCCCCCAAATACCCAGGCTTCCGGAGAGCCATTATCAACTAAAAGACTGCGACAAGTGGTACATTTCTTGAAACCACCTCCCCTCCACCCACTCGCCCTGTCATAGGATCCGCTTCTCGGGGTTAGCCTGACCCGAGGATACCGGAACTAAAGCTTTATTTTGGTAGCCTCGGCCTGACCCAACGACCCGAATGTTCCTTTAGATGGACCTTAGTCTACAGGCATACGCAGAACCGTTCTTGGTCCATTTTTTTAAAGACCATATTTTATCCCTTTCAGTTAATTAAAATATTTCTGTTTGTCTCTCTTGTCCAATGAACAAGTTCTTCTTTACGTGATCGAACTGGTTTTCTTGTTAATGAGAAATAATTTATCTTTTATAAATGAAGTGTTACTCTCAATGGTCATAATATATGACATCGTCATCGATGTAAAGCGCCCAGAGTCAATTCTCGTACTCGTATGGGATAGAGAGCTATATAAAAACCTTTTACTTCTTCTTCTTCTTCTTCTTCTTCTTCTTCTTCTTCTTCTTCTTCTTCTTCTTCTTCTTCTTCTTCTTATTATTATTATTATTATTATTATTATTATTATTATTATCATTATCATTATTATTATTTATCATTATTATTTACTGTTTGTGACTTGTAGTGCAAAAAGAATAGGGGAAAAAAGGAGGGGGTTGCACGGGATAATCCTTCGTATTGCCGCACTGACTTGTATTAGTTTGCACTTTCGCAATCCTTTAGGCTAGGAGAAAATATTGACATTTCTTTTGGAGTTGCAAAAACAAGAAGACGAAATGAGCCTATACAGTTTCCATGCAGCACGTGTCGATTTTCATGGTTTGCAAAACTTCCCCCTACATTATAAATACATTCGTAGTAGCTAAAGCAACGCATTAGACTACATTCTCGATATCATATTCCATGCGGAACTTCGAAGTTTGAGTGACCTGCTAAAGAGAAGGGACTGAGGGGGGTATGATTCATTACTCTGACAACATGCCTTTTGCTTATTCACAGCCGTTTCGAGATTTATTTTTAAGGCGTTTTGTTAGCGTAACCGTTTTTAAAAAGGCTTTCTTCCAAAATGTTAATGCTACTTTAAAGGAACAACTAGCAACAGTTTCACTTTGATTTTTTTTTCATACTAGTGTGGTAGAGCTAACTGACCGTGCTATCGATTTAGCAAACTAAAATTGTCTCTTGTTACCTCCTTTCCTGCTCTCTAGCAATGTTCTGTTGTCTGCTTTCGTCTCTTCTTTCTGCCCCCACGCGTTCACCTCCTTTGCCCCCTCCTACTGCTATTTCTTGGCTCCTTCTTACAGCTATCATTCAGCCACACCCCTAATCTTTTCGCAGAAAAGATCTATACTTACCCTTCTCGGACAAGGGCGAAAAACCTCGGAGGGCTCGTGAGTAAATTGCGCACGTTGAAGTACTTAAAGATCCCTCTGTGGTCTAAAATCGATAAATAAGAGTAGGCTTCAGCCGCCACCCGGGCAACATTAACAATTTCCTACCCCAACTGAAATAGTTTAAAGTGTCCCATGCACTCATATGACCCTACGCAGCTGCGTGCGCGGTAAAAAACCCAAAAAAGAAACAAAACAAACCAACAACCTGTAACATATATACAGCAACAAACTTATCATATATACAGTCAACAGACCTATGACATAGATCTATACCATCTACAAACTTGAGTCAAATCAATAAATGTATGACATACACAATCGCTTAATTTTTTACATTTCCAATCAACAGACATAATAATTCCGCAAATATTATAATTGTTACCATCACTGCCACTCCGGAAGTAGGACTGAAACTATTCAAAATGGGGTAGAAAAAAAGAAGGGGGGGGGGGGACCGCGTAAGGATGTAAGTTTATTTTATCGAGAAAAAAACCCACTTAAAACAGAGATGTCGATTATATTATACTTTAAAACTACAATAAAGAATATTGCATTTAGGCATATCAAACTTCAAACACAAACTAATTGAACTATTTAGACTTCACGCTTGTAAGACACACACACACACACACACACACACACACACACACACACACACACACACACACACACACACACACACACAAACACACACAGAGTAGAAAATTTCGCGGAACAATACAGTGCAAGCTGCGGATTTCACGCGCTCAAACACTATCAAACTGACAAGATCGTTCTCTGTCTATAGCTCATGGGAGAAATGAGGAAAGTTTGTGCAAAGTGCCTTTCCCAAGGATACAACGTCGGGCCCCTGACGGGATTCGAACCCACGACCTTACGGTTACGAGTCCGAGAGCCTAACCACTAGGCCACCAACGCCATTTTATAGTTATGTCGATCAATTTTCCAGCAAACTGAGACCTCAGTTCATTTCAATGCCAATTCCCAAAATGAACTTAACGAAATGAAAAGTGGGCCCAAGAACGTAAAGAAGCAGAGCGTGGATAAAAGGCTGGTATGTCCACATGACAGCCAACAGTGTGCAGTGAGACAGTCGCGATACGCACAATGTCACGCACAATCTTGGTCAAGATTTTGGCTTTCGTTGTTACTCTCATAGGTAAGTGATGCTATCGGACTTTCTCACTTTGCTTAAACTGAGAGAAAGTACATGTATTCTATAGGCTACTTATAGCTAAACATTTCTTTTAAGGTGTGCAAACTCTAGTCTCCTTTGGAATATGGCGTAGATTTTCTTGATGACTGATTTCTTGTTTCCCCTAAGCTTCTTTTTTAACTATGTGCAAAGTAATAAAATGTGGCCATTGGTTCAGAAAGAAAAT